GGCGAGCGCAGAGCGCGATTGGTGGACGGCGGCGTGGGGCGGGACCCGCGGGAGGCGGAGGCGGTGCCCCGTGCTCGGATTGGTGTACGGTGTGGCAGGGCCCGCCTTCTCAGCCAGGGCCGAACGGGGGGAAGGGAGAGGGGCCCTGAGACGGCAGTGGGAGGTCGTGGGGCGGGAGCCGGGGCTGGCAGGGCAGGGTGGAGAGCGCGAGCAGAAGAAAAGAAACAATGACGAGGAGAAACACTATGAAAACTGTGGCTGGAATGGTCTTCCAGGGTCCGGCCAGACTGGGGTTCGTTGAACGCTAAATCAGGCCGGGAAGGTAGTGAGTCCCATTTCTCAGAAAATTGACACCCTGAGAAGTGGCCCAAGAACCAAGCAGGTCTTAAGCCTCTGAATCTTCTAGTTCTTCTCAGCACTGAGGAGAGCAGTGTCTGCGAAGGCCTCCCTAAGGGGGCGACTTGGAGCAGTTCACCACGCAGCCTCGTGACCCAACTTGGATCGTTCCAACCTGTTATCTAAACCTTTTGTTGTCGTTAGTTTCTTGCCTAGTTATGGCTGGTCTCGTTGACTTGAGTAACTGCTCTGGGGGCAGAGCCCACTTCGGGAGCCCGGTACCTCCCAGGCCCTTGGCATATGGTAGTTCTTTCATCCAGTCCCCAAATGTTTAGGGGCCATCTGCTCTGAGCCAGGCAGAGACCTAGAGGGGAGCTTGGTGGGCTTACCCTCTGCAACCGCTCCAAGCTCAAGACCAGGTGGAGAAGCAGACAGGACCATAGGCAGCGACACATCTGGTGGGTAAGAGCTGTAATAGGAGACATACAAAGGATTGCAGGAGCTCAAAGGAGGCACCTGGCATGTGGGGGGAGAAGGGGACTCAGAAGGCTTCTTGGACAAAGTGACCAAGCCCCCCCTCAAGAGGCATGCCTGTGTTAGGCAGGGTCCAGGTAGAGGTTGCTGCCAGGGTTCTGGTGGCCAGAGAGCATGGTGCCCACAGAAAGTTTCAGGCACCTTCCCTCTGCACTGTGGCCATTTGAGAGAGGGGCAAGAGAAGGAGCTGGATCTTGCAGAGTCTTGTAGACCAGAGTAAGGAGGGAGCCACCGACATGTTTTGAGCTAAAGAATAACCTGGTCAGATTTGCTTTTTGTCATAAACAGCTTGCAGGTAATGTGGACGGGAGAAGATGGGAAATGGGTGGGTAAGGGGCCTGTTGTGGCCACCCAGGCAAGAGATGACAAAGGCAAGACCTCAGCACTGGGGACAGATGAAAGGATGAGCCTGAGAGGCATTTCAGAAGCAGATTCCACTGGACTTGGGGTTGATTTAAGTCTTGACATGTGACTGAAGATTCTGTTTCTGATTTCTTCCCGCTTTCCAGCCATAACGTGGGTGGTAATCTGTGCTTCTCTCCAGTTTGTCCTATAATTTAGAAAACACGAGCAGATTGGAGAAAAATGATAATAGCAGCTCCCAGTACTGCTATGTAGCCCCTTTTACAGACAGGGGAGTTGAGGCTTATAGGGTTTAAATCACTTGACCAGGGTCTGGACCCTGGAGCACAGCTGGAAGAGTGCTAAGCTGTGCTGCCCACAGTGTGGGGAGTGTTCTCCTCACTAGTCCTGGCTGGGCCTGCTCCACAAGGGAAGAGCCTGTGGCTACCTGACCCCAGGAGGGGATTTCAGAGCAGGGAGCCAGCCAAGGACATCTCTAGACCTGGCTGGCTCCTCACTGTGACCATGAGTAACCTCAGGCCACTCCAACAGGAAGCAGGCTGGGCCTAACTGCCAGGGTTAGCTCGGGTGGGGTATTTATCTCTCTGAAGCCCGTAGGCTGAGGATCCCGGAAGTTTTCTTCCCTCATTTCCCAGATGATGCTTGGGGAAGGGAGAGAGCGTGGTGGCAGGACAGGATGCTAGATTTGGGATGAGACAAGTCCGAGTTAGAATCCTGCTCTGCTGCATATTGGCAGTGCGTCCTTGGATTGGGACACTGAGGCTCAGTGTCTCCAAATGGGGAAGTGGTTTGATATGGTATAGCTAAGACTACTTGCCCTGGAGTCAACAGAGCTGAGTTGGAAATCCAGCTGACACACCATTGACCACCTGTTGCACAGACTGTAGGTGTAGTTTTGCATGTGTTGAAAGGAATTTTGAAGGATACATCCTAAACTTTTGCATCTCTGAGCCACAGTTTCTTCATCTATAAAATGGGAATAAGAGGGCAGGCCCATGGCTCGCTTGAGAGAGTGTGGTGCTGACAACACCAAGGCCACGGGTTCAGATCCCTATATAGGGATGGCCAGTTTGCTCACTTGGGAGAGCGTGGTGCTGACAACACCAAGTCAAGGGTTAAGATCCCTTTACCGGTCATCTTTTAAAAAAATAAAATGAAAATAAGAATATCAGCCTTTCCAGAATGTTGTGAGGACTTCAAGAGGGTGTGCCTGCAAAAGGCTTAGGCCTGAAGGGACATAGGGGTATGAGTGAGTGGTCAACGGGGAGCTCCAGGCTAGCACTTCCACGCTTCTCCCGCCCCCCGCCTCCCAAATTCCCAAGCATGGCCTGTTTCACCTACCCGAGGTCCTGACCAAATATATAAGGAACAGAATACCACGCAAGATAATTTCAGGGCCGGCCCGGTGGCGCACTGGAGAGTGTGCTGCTTGGGAGCGCAGCGGCGCTCCCGCCGAGGGTTCGGATCCCACATACAGACTGGTTCCCACTCACTGGCTGAGCGCGCGGCGCTCCCGCCAAGGGTTCGGATCCCACATACAGACTGGTTCCCACTCACTGGCTGAGCGCAGTGCGGGCGCAGCGCCAAGGGTTGTGATCCCATTGCCAGTCCCCGGTACGGGCGCGACACCGAGGGTTGCGATCCCATTACCGGTCAGTAAAAAAGACAAAAAAAAAGGAAAAAAAAAAAGATAATTTCAGACAGGTGGTGTGGAGAAGGAAACCCAGGGAAATGTGAGAAAGAATGGTTGGGTCGGGGTCCTGATTCAGATGAGTGGTCAAGGAATGCCTCTATGATGTGTCACCTCAGCCAAGACCTAAATAGTAAGAGGGTCCCAGGCACAGGAAGCTCTGGGGTCAGAGGTATAAGCTGGCATTTTGGGGGAAGCCTGTGTGCCTGGAAGGGAGTGAGTAGAGGGGGCAGAGAGAGGTAATGGGCAAAGGCAGGGTCCTGCTCACATGGGCACCTGTGGGCCAAGAGGAGTTTAGATTATATTCTAAGCCCAAGGGAAGCTATTGGAGGATGTGAGCAGGGGAGTGACAAGATCCAAAATATGTTTTTAAAAGCTCCTTCTGGCTGCTGTGTGGAGAATGAATTGATTGTCCAGGGCAAGAACGGAAGCTGGCAGACAGGTGAGAAGCTATTATAGCCATCCCAGCAGGAGACTCTGGTGGCTCAGACCAGGGTGGAGACAGAGCAATGAGAAGAGAATGAACACATTTCAGAGAAAGTGCTGACGGCACTTGCTGAGCCATAATAGTAGTTATTCAAAGTCATGGTCAAGGCTAAAGAGCCCAGGAAGGACTCAGAGCCTTTTGAATATCCTCAGTATTTAGAGTTTTATTGAAGGCCATGAGATTCTTGAAGTTGGGAAGTAAATGAGCATAAGCACTGGATTAGGTGAGAGGAAGGAGTTGAGGGGAATGAAGGAATTTAGTGTGACAGTAGCCTCCAGAATAAAATCACGACTGGAGAAAGTGGGAGAACCTTAGAGAATCCTTACCCTATCTGGTCCTGGACAAGCTCTTGTGATGATGTATACTTAGCTCCCATTACAGCAGGAGCTTCACAGGGTCAGATACCTCACCCATGGTGTCCTCATGTCCAGTTCAGGGCCTCTTATGTGACAGATGCTCTGTAAATGATTGTCAAAGGACTGCATGAGTGGATGCATAGATGGATACATGTACACATGGTGGATGCATGCATT